GTAAAGTCACTCATTTTTTTTCATATGACGAGTTATCCATATGAAAAATTCAAGAGTTCTTTAAATTCTATTGAGTAGTATATATCGGGATTGGTGCAGTTCATAGTGAAGGGGATTAATAGTATATTACTCAAAAGAAGCTAAACAACACTCGATTTTTGTCATATGACTATAGTTAATCTGTCATGGGCACCTCGGATCAACTATCGTCACATGAAAAATTCGAGAGTTCTTTAAGTTTTTTTGAGGAGTATATATAAACATGTAAATTCTGTCAACAAACTCCTCAATATCATCCTAGATCAACGGTCCTCTAATTGAACACCTTCACATACACTCGTCTGGATATTTCAACAAGTCTTACACTTTGAAACTAATCTCTCATTTTTAACCTAAGAACCTCAACATCTGAAGGATAATCCTTGTTCTTGTTCACAATCAATGATGATAGTCTCTGAATGATTACAATACCGGGCTGTTCATGCAAGGAAAACACTGATGATTATAGAAACGGACATTGTTGGAGTAAAGCCTGAGAGTTGTAGCCCTTTCTACTGAATTACTGTAAGGTCTTATTCCTGGAACAATCCCCCCTTCACGGGGACGCATGGTTTTGTTGTGGACCTGTTTTCGATCGGGGAAAGTATTCTTCCAGTACAGCTACTTCACGATTGTTTCTCATTCCTGATGGAGAACTGTTATTTACCACCGAACGTTGTATTGTCCGCATGAATGGCTCCGAGTTGAGCTGTGACACCACAGAACTGACTCAACCCTGATTGTGGGATAGTACACAGCCTTTACAGGTGGACTCAAGGCTTCCTCTACTAATTTCTCCCCTCTTAAAACCAGGGCAATTATCGAGGCTATTGATAGGGAGCAACACACCTGGGCAGCTACACTGCTCATACATCACTACGAGCCTTTAAGAAATTGTTTCCAATTTTTTTTATTTTTTGTTGTCCGTAAATTGTCCACCCCCCTCTGAGCTTAGCTTGCGACCATGTGCCCTGGTCGGGAGTAGTTCGAAATGAAAACCTTGGTAGTCAACTGCCACTTAGACTAAGGGAACCCTTTCCGATGTGTTTGTCGACCACTGAAACAGGATTGTTTAAGAATTGAAACACTTAATGCAAAGACCCCCTCCCATTCTTTCAAATTTTCCGAGTGATCACGGCAATTTAGATAAATGAATCGCTAAACAAAACATCCCAAACTCACACTATCGAAGCCACCGTATGAAAATTTCATTAGAAATTGTTAGTAATCAGGACAGTCTGGCTGAAGCCTTTGTCAGAAATTAGCACTTATTAAATGACAAAACACACAGCATGATTACAATCAAGAAGAAACTGTCAGAAATGTCCATTCTTTGAAAACTTTCCTTGCCAGATTTGACCAGCCCTCTTGGTCGGCAATCAGCCCCCTCCCGACCCCCTTGACATAACGTCACAGGGGGTGAGTCAGCTCCACTATGATGACAAGGCACCATTAAGCCAACGATTGTAATGACCATGTAGAGGTACAAGAAAATCACAGTGTTTTAAGTCATTAATCAAAACACGGCTATGCTTTCCAGCTATCAGCCAGCTATACGCAGGTGCTGCCATTTTACTCACATTTCTCTAACAATCTCATCCCCATTAATTTTAAACACTCATTTTCTTTGCAATTTATTGGTAATTGTTTACACAAAAGGGTAACAATATCTCATTTCTTTGACAAAAAAAAACCCACAAAAACTTTTGTTTTAAGATAACTATTTTCTCATTTCATTATCTAGCTGTCAAAAAAAGTTCCCACATCCATTTTTGACATGTAAAATTATTTTCTCATACAAACTTTTCCAAATTACAAATCTCAACAATGCGCTACTGCACGCCAAGACCTCTCCCACAATATAAAGTCCGCTCCGAGCCAGCCCACCCCTGTATGTTATTTCAAAAACGGTGTTTTCCCGTCCCTATTAATCCCTGGCAGTCTCCAGTGTATTAATCTTTTGCCCTAACACGTGCCTCAATTCCACGAACCCAGTAGGAAGACCAACGGCTAGATACGGTCGAGGGGTAGCGATAATTGGGGAAAGCGTGGCCAACCGTGGGCCATGGGTAGAGCTGGCACAAAGAGTGTGCGCGGCCAAGCACAGGGTCAAGGGGTCATATTCAACACTCACGAGGAACGGGGAGGGATGGGTGGATGGATGGACGACTGGACGACTGGATGGAATAATCAAAAGATGATGACTACATGGTAATATACTATATGATGCAGGTATATTATTATGACTCTGGTTGAGGTATTGTCCCGGCAAGTCATCTCATAATGTCCAATGTTTTGTATGTGTAGAAGGTATTAGGAATAAGTATGTATAGATGAGATTCTTGTATAACCAAATTTGATGAAGTCATAGTAATTTCATGCATGATCAAATTCAACATTTTAATCAATTTAGTTAAAAATTTGTTTGATAGGCATAACAAAGTAGACACAATTTATAGATAACAACTTCAATATACTATTATAGCAAAATTTTGGTACAGATTTAGTTTTGGGACTTAATTTAGTTTTATTCCAAAGTATACTACTGGTAAGAAAGGGAACAGAAAAATACTCCACTTTTGATAGAGACACACAGCCATGTCCAATATATTTAAATGTACACTTGACATATTAGGGGAATCAGTTGCGTGTATCATGGAAAGACAACATGTCCCTACCAAAAGTGGCGTTGCATAAATCAGGATGATTGTGGATGTGGCAATGAATGAAAGACATTCTAACCACAGAACAAGACAATCAAAGTAGCCAAAACAGTGTGATGTGTCTCACGGTTGATGATGTTGTTTATTAGGCTCCATCTGGTAAGCTTATCCATGTTGGCAGCCAAGTTAAATATTGGGAACCACCAAGCTGAAGTCAATACTGATTACATAACTGTGGAGTCTGGACAAATACCATATTGACTCAGATAGCCTAGTTAAAAATAGCTACATGGAAACACCTGGCTTTCTGTAAATGACTTTTGAAAGATTGCAGCTGATTGTGAGAAAACATGCTACCCTGGGGTTAGAAGTAGAATCTAAAATTCCATGCCTCCATACAGATACCTCTGTTGATGTGCACATGAAGGGGAACAAGCATGACATATGTACTGTTTAAGCCTAGTGGGGTGTAACACCATACTTCCACTTAGTCTGCCACTTTAGCCACTAATGTGAAGCATGTTAAAATGTCAGTTGGTCTAGTAATCTCAGGTAATAATAGCAAACAGATTTCCACTAAATCTACTGTAAATGATGCCTAGATAGTTTTTGGATAGTAATAAGAATAATACTATTTGTAATAATATGCCCATTTATAATGCACCTAATGGACCTACATTATTATTACCCCGGTCATATGATCAGTGTGCACTTGATTTTCATGCTCAACTCCCTGGGGAGTATACAACCAAATCTGCCCGTGGGTGCAAGAAGGTTAACAGTCACATTATCATCTCATCCTACCGGGTACCCATTGAAGGCTTTTGGCTGCACTAAATCAGGAGAGCCTAATCTGACCTAGGTCAAGGACTTTTACCACTATAGAGACATCCACCAGCACGGTGTTGTCAAGCCAAGAACAGCAATCAGGACAAATTCAAACACAGGACAAACAGACTCTGGTTAGTTTGACAAAGTCTAAAGCTATATTTTATCTCAATGACGCATGTAAGTTAATCAAAGTTGCAAAGTTGGCTGATCAAAAGATGATAACACACACGCACACGCACACGCACACGCACACGCACGCACACATGCAGGCACACGCACCACACACACACACAAGATATTTTTATGTTATTAATTGATGACTGGGAAAAAGATTACCTACAATTCTAAAAATACCTTGTTGACTCTATTTGGGTATATGTAGCTAAAGTGTCTTATCAACAGTCCCAAAGCGATCTTCTGAAGTTGAAAATAGTCACAGTAAATCTGTGATTGAAACTCACTGCAATTGAAGGGCAAGCTTATTACCTACGTCTTCTCTACATGGTGAACCAGTATTGTATTGCCATACGCCAGACATATAAACGACATATATACTACTCAAAAGAAGTTAAAGAACACTCGATTCTTTCATATCACCATAGTTACTTTGTCATCCCATGCTTCAAACATGTCAAAATAGAGTCAAATGCCATGACAGATTAACTATAGGAGCATGAAAGAATCAGGTGTTCTTTAACTTCTTTAGGGTAGAATATATTCCACCAGTCAGATATCATTATGATGTTATCAAAATACATATTCTGTGTCCCACTAAACAGAGGTCTTAATCTACTCCAATTTTGTAGCATGTGTATCCTTAGGGGTCTTTTTGAAAGTTGTTGAAAGATGTTAGAAAAGTAAGTTTATATACTTTCAATTTTGATCCCCCATTCTCAAAAACCATGTTCCAAAAGTGGTATGCTTCACGAGTCAAATAATATGATTAAAATTATGAAACCTTTCAATATTAAACTTCAGACATGAACATAATAATATAACAATCCTGACAGTTTTATGAAAACTGAAGCATGTTTATGTAAATTGAGATCTAGAAATTGATGAGGCTTTCAAATTTAAACCCCAGCCTTGTATCCCAACAAAAGATTAAACCTGTCCTCCCCATGATGAAATGAAGAATCTGACTTGCATGACACATACATGTATATGAAGAAAGTGTTTCAAGTGAGAAGCAACCACTACCGTAGAAACAAGTTGGTAAGAAACTAAAGGAAATATTTATACATTTCAAACTCATAAAATACAAGTACTACACACAACATGAAGACATGATCCCTGAGAGAATTAAATTGTGAAGAGGATGAATATGAGAGAGAGAATGAAAGAGACATTGAGATGAACAAGAAGCAATGAGGATGCATCAGTGGTCTACCATGGATGATGACTATGTGCACAAAACAGGACACAAGATTAATCCAAACAAAAAGTGCGATTCGAAGAACCTCTTACTTTGTACGTATCCGATAATCTTTCTCGGACCTCTGTGTTCTGTGGCGAGGGAATCCGTTCTGCGACGAGGGTGTTTGATAATAGTCCCCAGTCTCAAGTCTAACGAGCATTTGTCTCTCCTGCTGAGCAAAACAGGGAACAATCAGAAATGCTCCAATTCTTTGGATTTTTGGTTTATATTTTAACAAAGTCTTTTGGTCTTGTAATCATTTCTTGGTGACAAAATATGTTCAAAATGCTAGGTAGACCATTGATGCATAGATTTTAATAAGTTTTTAAATATTGAAAGTTGAAGATAGAAAGGCAACTACATTTTCTAAAGAGTTTGAAATGCAAACTTACCGTGAAATGTTAAGAAGAATTTCAACTTCTCTACCAATTGTTGGTTACAATGAAAAAGCAGATTTTTGCAAACCTACTTGACTGAAGATGGGAGAACCAAATTCTGTTAAATTTTAAAAGACATTCCCCAAAACAAATCCACTGGAGGACTTTATAAACATTTTATAACCACTCCTACTAAGACAAACATTAGAAAATCTCCAATAGAAAACATTGGAAGCAGTTCCCTTAGAAGACCTCTATGTCCCAAATGAAAGTGCATTATGTCAACATGTTCCGATCTCTATTTACTTAATGCACAAAACTGTGCAAATAAGATTATACAAGTTTGTCAAGACATCATATAAAGGTCACTTCAAATACATAATCTTTAAGAGAAAAACAACAAACTGGCAAGAAAGTTTCTTTGTTGTAAAATTAAATTGTGTGATATTTCTAAACATTCCAAAGATGTCTCTGTAACCTAGAGTTGGTGGCAGGGATCGTCCTGTGTCCCACCACACAACAAACATAGCAAAAGAGCAAGTGCTCTACCCCAACTGAAATAAAATATCCCATTCCTTGACATCTTCCTCAACACTAATCCACCCTACCACTGCCCATCCCTTCCAGACTAACACATCACCACCAGGGGAACAACATAATCCCAGCCCAGCACTCCTTCCCAACCCCCCTTCCCTACCCCCTCACCAGCCCTCCTCAAATCTACCCACTTTTCTGGATTGGGTAGAAACAAAGAAAGATCCACAATGACACAACCAACAACCAAGAAAGTATAAACACCCCACAGCTTGCCCCCTAACAAAACACACAGCCACACATCTAACAAAAGTCTTCTTTTGAACACCTGTCTTTCCATGGCTAATACATTCTTTAACATAAAAGCATCCAAATGTCCCCTTTTAAGGAAAACAAAGAGGTTTTAACATAAGCATTTATCAAACCAGCTGTATGTGGGATAAGGAATTCAACTTTCAGCCTTGCTGTTAAAAAATTCCCTCCAGAAAAGCTGTGAAAGTTATGCTATGGAGTGAGTCCCTATGTAGTTATGTGAGGCTAATTGAATCAATGGATGATAGTCTAGGGGGAGGTAACTCTAAGTTACTGTTAGAAGTTATTGATTTTTTTAACAAGCTGAGAGTCAGGAGAAGCTTGTTGCTTCTGAGTCCCTGGTGACAGTGTGAGAGGTTACATAAGGTGAAGGCACTTCACAGGATCTCAAAGTATTCACAGTCATGCAAAAGAAAAAGGCTAGCTACAAATAAACAAAACAAAGCCATCATACAACATACTTGTTTTAATTATAAACAGAAGTGTGTAACAAGTGCAGGATTTGTCCTAATACAGTCTCTATAACCAGGTTTAAAACCTGTTGAAAGCTTCTATATATATACAAGGTAAGGCTAAGGATAAACTGTTCAATCTTTAACAGTGAACAACCAATATATCTCTCAAAGATAACTAGATCACAAGTTTGTTCATTAACACTTTTTCAGTCCAAACTTTCAAATTCTGATACTGCTTTGACTAGACACAATTCCCTGAACAGCACATGTTCATAAATAAATTTCTGAAGCAAGGGGTGGTTTGATCTAACAGAGTAATCTGTGACTGGTAAACTTTCATAAAATGTTAACGTGGGTAAAAAAACCATGAAATACCTTTACTTGCTGTTTTTATGAGCAAAATCAATAAAAGAATGCACAAACAACAGCTATTTGATGAAAGAAAACAAAAAATACAAATAAACAAGCTTTGCCATGCAATACAATCAGATACAACTTAGTTGCATAAGCTGGTGGCACATGCACCGACACATAGACTGGCATACAAACACAATATCACATACAGAAAATAAACAAAAACCCATAATACAACACAATCTAAAACAATAAGAAGCTGGATGGGCCAAGGGGACATCAAACTTTGTGGCAAGTTTCATGAAGATCAGATGTACTAAGACAACGAACATACAGGCTTTTGCTTGCCACCATGAAGACTTGTCCAATCTTTCATAAGTGACAAAATGGCTTTGTTGAGGGAAAATTAGTTTTTTTTCCCTCTTAATTAAAACAAGGAGGCAATGGATGTATGGTGGACAATAAAGACGACAAGCCATGCCTGCATGTCCCCTATGACTTGTCACTAGGTTTGGTTAAGTCTGCAGCGTCAAGTAGACCCACACCTCCTTAACCATTATCTGATAGGACGGAGGCAATGGCCGATACACCCTAAATTCCTTCACACCCCACAGTTAAGACAGTGCCACTGGCTAGCGAGTGAAAACGTCAATACCTCTCAGACCCTACTACAGGTCATCACTGATGTGGTGAGGACCTGTTGGCCTGATTGTGGACCTGCACCTCACATGGTTGGGTCTGGGCTGGGTTTTAAAGGGACAGGGAGTGTTTCACCTCTCTCAGAACTTAGGCTATCACAACAGAGCATGTTTGTTTGTGGAGCGGCCACAGTCAGGAGTTTTGTCGTGAGGGTGACTTTTGGTTTCCCACTTCAGATATACAGAGTAAAGCCTCAACTACCTCTGCCTCCGACTCTGCCTGCCTCTCTTGGTCTTGGCGGTACTGCCTTTGCCGCTCCTCAAACTCCCGCAACCGTCGATTGTATTGGTCGATTTGCTCTCTCAGTATTGCGTCTTCAACCTGCAAATGAAGCGGAGATCTCGTCACCTGCATGCAGTCAACAGGACAATACAATCATGTGTGTGCATTCTCAAATCTCATCAAGGGTTTATTAGTCATTTTGGGCAATTTGTGTCAGATTCTGGTAAGGGTTTGTCAGGTGATCACTGGAGAGGCAGCTGTCATCAAAGCCACACTCCCAGAGCAAGGGGTCAACTGTGTATGGGACTCTTGTCAACACATCCTAACAGTAGCTCCACAGCCAATCTACAAACCCATGTCTACACAGATTTCCTTTTTCCCTGGAAACTGCGCCATCACCTGCACGACTGTATGTAATTAAACAAATCTGGAATTGGCAAATTATGAGCAAAGTTGGTTGTGTGATTAAGTGAGGTTAAGACAGCTGAAAGTGGGGTAGTGTCTCCACAATGCCAAGCTGAGGGGTGGCAACGAAGAATAGACCAAAAATGAGAAAAAATATTATCAGCTGCCTTGCTTAGAGAACTAACAAAGCCAGTTTTAATTGGTCGAGGTAGCATAATGAGTGTGCAGGCCCCAAAGCTTGGCTGCATATGGTTCCTAGAGGAACATTTGCCCAAACAGATTATAAGGACTCTATCCATAAAGGTGGGAAACTTGTGGACAGCTGAGCTACACCAAGCTTCCACACTCAGCTATTGATTTTTTTCTTTGTCTTTTTGTTCCCATTGTCTGGGAAAAGTTTAATTTTCTTGTTTTGGCAGCCCCAAGTTATGAATTTTATGAGCAGTGTTTGGTAAGACAGCCATCTGACTGCCATGGGTAGCAGGCATGTGCAAGCCCTGCCGACAAGTAAGAGGCATCTGCAAGACTTGCACTTTTTCCTCTCCTAGTCTTTGTCTCCATTGTCTTTGACAGTTAGCTGCCTAGGGGTGGCAGATGGGCAGAGAGTGAGGGTCAAAATGCACAAGTAATTGAGTAAGAAGAAGGGGAGAAGGGCCCCTGCACTTCCCAGTAATACATTGAACACTAGCATAGGGCTTGCCAGCCACCCCGACCAATCTTTTCCCTCTTAGAGCTACTGTGACACCCTCTTAACGCAACATATGGCTTAATTAAAAGTTTCTATGTGAAGAGAAGGAAGGGAGGGGCAGTGGGATGGGAGGGGGGCCTGATTTGGCCAACCTGTCTTTCCCCAACCCCCTAACCCCCTTCCCTCTCTCAACCCATCTGTTTTTGGCCCAGACAACAACAATCCCTATGCAATCATTGGGAACATTGGTATGATGACCCCCTATTTGAGAAGGCTGTTTCCCATGACTCCCCCCCCCCCCCTACATTGTCACCCCTAATTGTGGCTTTGGGCTGGCACTATGGGATCACATATTGGTCTAATAAACCCATCACTCTCCCTCATCCACAATATTGCACTTTTTGCAAGAAAATTGAAAAGTATTGACTCAAATTTCACAGATTTCCTGGCCAATTTGTGGCAAAACAAATTATACATGTTTTGACAGAATTCCAAGCCATAAATGTGCCTGAGTCCTAATTTGGCTGGCAGAAGTCCTACTATGAATACAATCACCACACATGGATAGAAGACTTACCCTTTTATTAAACCCTGAATTTCAAATTATTCTAATGGGACCAAAATTCTTGTGAAATTCACTAAAGGTCACATGTGAAAGCACCCTGGTTTAGCTTATGGTGGAACATAATGTCTCATAAAGCCTGACATTAAAATTCTTTGTGCAATTTAAATTTTACAAGCCATATGTCAGTGGTTTTGGAATGGTGATAGCTGTCAAGTCTGCAGTTAGGCTACTCAGACCTGCAGACAGACACTCTAATACTTTATGGCTTTCCTGGCAGACAGTCTTTAATAAAAAACAGACTTTTCTCACTTTGGGAACAAATGTACCATAATTATCCAAGAGCGCCAACCTGCAATTTTATTGCTTTTGTACCAAATTACACCCAAAGATTACTTGAAATGGCTCTTTGACAGTCTCTGTAAGTTGCTCATAGAACTTGGTACAAAGTTAATTGAACCATATTTAGAACCAAAATGTCTTAAGAGATCTCAGTGATGATTAAGTAGGATCTTGGAAAGGACTAACACTTGATTCTTTGTTTAAAACGAAAAATACTTCAAATGTGCTTCAAATAATTAATCATCTGTCATTTTTTGGAAACTGACATTGTTTTCTCATTATGTCCTTAATTTACCTAATCTAGGCCCACAATGACCTGATTGAATGTTTCTGGTGATATCTGAAACTTGGTACACATGGCACCAACTCAATCAGCCTCTTACTTCCACTGTATTTGAATCTGGTGAATGGTTCAAATTATAAGTGACTTTTCTATCTTCAAAAGCTGAAGAGTTCCAATTTCTGGCCACCATCTTGGCTTCTTGACACCCTGCTACAGATACTGTTGGGACATATGCCAGACACCAATGGAGCCATTGACTTCATATTGGCATTCAAGTAGGGTTTACTGGCCAAATATCATGTGGATCCTTACCCTTTTTTTCTAGTCACGTATTAGTAATTAGTCATTTTATCAGTTTATTGGTGAAAAGCTCAACGTAGCAATCTTATCAGCTGTGATCCAATTTCCACTTAAATATTCCTCCAATTTATCCATAATAGGGCCCCTAATTGCTAAGTTATTGAGTTTCAGGATCACTGATACAGTGTAACATTCTATTTAATTAAAAAGACCAGGAATATGGACGAAAATACTAACACAAATACATATTTTTATGTATATTCTCATTATAACTATTTATAATAAGAAACATTATCACTTTGGACTGCATACAGCAGGATTTAATTCATATTTAAACATGTTTCACATAATAACTAGCATCTCAAGCATTAACCTGTCTGTTTATTTATTGTTTTATGGAAATTTGGGGTAAATGTTGCAACACCTATGAAATCTACTAAACACTCTGAATATATTGAACCAGTTAATTTTGAAAAAGCCAAATATGAATGCAAAATATATTTTCACACATCAGGCTGTCTTATGTATGAATGAAAGAATACCAGAATAATGTAAAAGGTGCAATAAGTCTAAATGTACCTCCGCTCTGTCGTCGTCAAACTCTAAACACCCAATTCCATCAAGTCGTTGAAGGTCGATCCATCCTCGCCACACCACACACACACCGTTCATGATAAACTGGGACTTCAAATGCACCTGAAACATCATATATCACACATTATGAAAACATTCTTAAAAATTATAAAACGAGCATGTTCCTTCCTACACAGCCATGAGACCTTGGCATCTGGTGCAACATTCAGATATTAAAGTCTGACATAAAAAGTATGCAATATTGAGGTGTAAACGTGCCATTATAATTTCAGATTTATGTATAAAGTCCATATTAGTAATTAGTTCTGAGAATTTCATTAGGATTTTTTCATCAAAAGTTATACAAGCCGAACTGCAGATTTTCAAACTGCGTCCTTCATGTTCCTTTCTTCTTTTTAACAAACAACATTTTTTACGGCACAACATCATATAATCATCTTCCTTTGTCATCAAGTCCATGTTGAACTTTATCATAATCATGCACTATTAGGCAGAAAACAAAATTAAACCTTTCAGCATTTCAATGAAAATTAGAAACAAGCGTTCCACAATTAAAGAACAGTTATCCCCATAATGTTATCAGGAGCAGACTTGTCTTTCAAACATTTCATTCTGTGCCACCTCATGCTCTGAGACACTAATTAAATCAGTTGAAAACAAAATGCTGAAGAATTAGATAGGACTTGGTGGCATGTGGGACGGACGCTCTCGGTAGTCGCGACCAAGATCAACATCGCAAATGTTTCCACCTCCACGCTAACCAACCACGCGTCTAGGGAATTCTGGGAGAAGACCACGACTTTACAAAGCCACCAAGTCCCCACAAAGCAATTTTTGGGTCCATCTGGGATTTTCTCAATTTTTAGTTAAACCACAATTTCTGATCATTGTCCCCTATCTAATCTGCATAGGACAATACCAGTGTGTTGAAGTCACCGCGTCACCAAGATTGGAGTATGTGGTAAGGGGTGTGTGCGATCTTGCCGCTTGCGAGATGTCATGGTTTCATCAGCGAGATGACTTCTTTCTTGTGTGTAACCACAAGAATCGGAGGCCAATACACCACAAATCTTTCCCCTTCTGAGATTGCATATGGAAATTGAGTTTGTTCTGGAGAATCAAAGTCTGTCATATCATGACGTCATTTCCAGACTCTATTCCTCAACATGTACTGAATGGTTTCGAAGCCATTTGTCGCAACTTCTTATAGTAACTTTCATACTTTACAGTTTGACAAACATTACTTTTTAAAAGGACTTCCCAAAGTTGTTAAAGAACAAAACAACAAAAATTATACAATATCCCTATTAGAAAGATGCTATTATTACGCTGTCATCGAGAAAACGTTTTATCTAACTTGAAAAAAAAAAAATGAATCAAAAGTATGATACAACAATACAGTACTGATCTTTGAACTATATAGGTGCTTTCAAGGGTATGATAGTATACATGTATACTATCAAAGGGTCAAAGATTCTTCTCAATATCAATACCATTTTCAACGTACCGCTTACCTAGTTCTCAACAAATGACATTGGGGGGGAAGTTGAGTTAGCTATTGTATAAAGTTCTAAAACTTTTTTTTAAACACTAAAAGTGATTATTGGCACTTCAAATTCCCCTTCAAACACTAAAAAAACAGATTTGTGTTAGTGAACTCGACTAATTACAACCCCTGATTTCCTTGAGTGTATTACGTTGTTGCCCCAGTATTTGTAGTTAATGTTACAGATTGCAATATAAACAAACAGTTGTTGTCATGTGGCTGTAGTTGTAGTGTATGAACACATCCCATGACAGATAGGTGACATTGTTCAGAACCTTATCTAATTCACTCATAGATTGTACTCTGTGGTGATGTCACAACAACATCACCGCTGACACAGATAGTAGCAGCACACACAAGGGTCGATGGGTGATAGGTTTTATCAAACCTTTACTGATCACCAAATTCGGTTATCTCATTCAATAGTCTATGCTATCTTATTCTGTTGATGTTTCAAGGCTGTGAGAATGATCACATCATGCACCTATTGTCACTGACATTATACACCTATTGTCACTGATTACAACTTGGGAAAGTTGTTTATCTTAAGATATAAATACCCCATGATGTTGCTGTGTCATTGTTTACTATCTTAATTGTCATCATGAAAACTGTGAGAATCTTCTGTTATGATTCTATTGATAATCAATCTCCATGGCGACTGGGGAATAACTATGTTTTGTTTAACGCCGCACTCAGCAATATTCAAGCTATATGACGTCGGTCTGTAAACAGTCAGGTCTGGATCAGACAATCCAGTGATTGACATCATGAGCATCAATCTACACAACTGGGATGCACATCAACCAAATCAGTGAGCCTGACCACTCGATCTCGTTAGTCGCCTCTTACGACAAGCATGGGTTTTTGAAGACCTATCCTACCCGGAATCTTCACCGGTGAAAATACTATGTACTTCATCGCCACATAAATCTTTAAGCTAATTCATTTAACAGATAAAAAGTTCTATCCTGTTTTTTTAGATCTGGTGATTCAGTGTTAGAACTGCTCCCTAGCAACCTATGCTGGTTGTTAGAGGCAACAAATGAGTCAAGTGGTCAGACTCGGAGACTTGGTTGACTGCGGTACCCCTACAGCATGGAGTGTGGCACTAAACAAGAAAAAACAAACAAATTGTTCCAAAATGCATCAACAAAAGTTAAAAGACCACACATAAATGGCGCTACGCCTTGTACAGGTTAACCCACTAACCACTGCAGGAAACAACCTTGGGGCATCCTGACACGTCCATCCCACCCCCACCACTCCCATCTCAACACACCTCCACCACACCACACCCCACACCACACCCCACACCCACACCCACACCCACAACCACACCACCACTCCCATCTCAACACACCTCCACCACACCACACCCCACAGCCGCAACCACACCACCGCTCCCATCCCCACGCACCTCCACCACACCCCACATCCACATCCACCACCACCACCCCCCCCCTCCCATCCCCACACCAACCTCTACCACGATAACATGTCACCAACCAACTTCCCATTGACCTCCACTCCTACTCAAACCATCAATGAAATATAGCCACAAATCTATTTCTTCAGAACCACATTTGTAAGTGCAAACACATTTCCGTTTGTTCACAAATAAAGACTGTAGACTTTGTCCTTGAACAAGTGTACTTTGTACCCATAATGATTCTAAAAGTCATTGTCACTGCTACCATGTGACGCATTGTTACAGCAGCATACAGCACGTTTTGTCATGTGATATCAGTTGTCAACTAGCCAAGGTTACATCAGCAGAGCTGGTGTTGAAATGTGTGTTCATGCAAGTGGGCCCTGGACTAACGCTTTGACTTAATTCTTTCAACAGAAGGCCATTACAATCCTGGGAAATCCCCCATTAGTCACTGAGCACAGTATTACTAGCAAACATCTTCCTGGTTAGCTTGTTTCCGGCATAAGCGGATAACATACTTAGCAGATATCCATTGTCACTAGACAATATTTTACCGGTTACATTACTCAATGAGCTAAATATATTTGAATAAAAAGTAATATATGTCCATTAGTTAACTACAAGGGTGAGACAGTCAGTGGGCATCACAACGTCATGTTTTTATATCTGTTCATATCATCTACATCTACTTAAGAAGATACGAGTTTATGCTTTTGCTGAGAGTTGGTATATGTTTATATATATTCTGATTACAGCTAATTCAGTTGTGGAAAATGTAGTTTCATTTGAAGGAAGTGGCTTTAATATTACATTTGTTTGTTTTGTTAAGTGCTACACTCATCAATATTCCAGCCAAATTAACAGTGGTATGAAAATAATTAAGTCTGGACCAGACAATCCTGTGACTAATAATGAGCAACAATACACACCATCGGTGTATGCCACACAATCAGCCAAGTCACCAAGCTTGACCAACTGATCCATTTGGTCACAAAGCTTGCTGGGGATCTCTTATAACACTGAATCTCCACAGGGAGACAAGCATATGTCATTAGCAACCTGTTTTAACTCAAATCCCCACGGGGACACAAACATAGGTTGCTGGGGACCTGTTTTAACTCAAATCCCCACGGGGAGACAAACATAGGTTGCTGGGGACCGTTTTAACTCGAATCCCCACGGGGAGACAAACATAGGTTGCTGGGGACCTGTTTTAACTAGAATCCCCACGGGGAGACAAACATAGGTTGCTGGGGACCTGTTTTAACTCGAATCCCCAAGGGGAGACCAACACAAGTTGCTGGGGACCTGTTTAACTCAAATCCCCAAAGGGAGGCAAACATAGGTTGCTGGGGACCTGTTTTAACTCGAATCCCCATGGGGAGACAAACATAGGTTGCTGGGGACCTGTTTTAACTCGAATCCCCACGGGGAGGCAAACATAGGTTGCTGGGGACCTGTTTTAACTCAAATCCCCAAGGGGAGACAAACACAAGTTGCTGGGGACCTGTTTTAACTCGAATCCCCAAGAGGAAACAAACAAAGGTTGCTGGGGACCTGTTTTAACTTGAATCCCCACGGGGAAACAAACATAAGTTGCTGGGGAGCTGTTTTAACTCGAATCCCCACGGGGAAACAAACATAAGTTGCTGGGGAGCTGTTTTAACTCGAATCCCCACGGGGAAACAAACATAAGTTGCTGGGGAGCTGTTTTAACTCGAATCCCCAAGAGGAAACAAACATAAGTTGCTGGGGAGCTGTTTTAACTCGAATCCCCAAGAGGAAACAAACAAAGGTTGCTGGGGACCTGTTTTAACTCGAATCCCCAAGGGGAAACAAACATAAGTTGTTGGGGAGCTGTTTTAACTCGGAATCCCGACAGGGTTTGAGGTCACAGGATCATGAGAAGGATCAGCAAGTCAGCATCAATCAATATTTCTATTTAAACATAAATACCATCAAATACAGGACTTGTGGTAACATTCAAAAAGTAACAGCAGTGCACACATCCCTTTACACTTCTATGCAGTCTGAATCTTATGAGACACTTCATATAACTTTTAGAAAATAATATATGGAAGAAATGAAAGTGCATAAGTATACGTGTGTAAGCCTACTGAC